TTTTTATTACTAGTATTTTAAACATCCTAAATAAATCATATTTTCTCATTGATGTATTTATTATTTTCTGTCTTAAAATGTATACAAAACAAAGGTAAATATAAAGAACAGATGTAATTAGTCTAGTTACTGTAAAAACAAATTAACTATCTAAACATCTATTGTTATTTGCAAGTACATAAGTAGTATCTACAGTAACAAATCCAATAACTTAACTTATGAAAAATTTAAAGGAGTGAATCATAAATAAATCATTGAAATCCAAAGTTGTAAGTCTATCAGTGACTTGGACATAAGTATGGTGCTGTCACTGACATTTAATTTAGTGCACATTAAATATGGTGAAAAAGTGTTATGCTCATTAAAACTCTTTTACCTAGACATAGTGCTAAATGTATGCATATATGTATAGATGTCTTTTTAAATTAATATTTTGGCATTAATACTTTTAAAATTCCATTTTCTTTTATTTAGAAAACATTGAATTGCCGCACAGGTAAATTCCGGAAATGAAAAAAAATATATGTCGGAAATGAAAACAAAAAATGTCGGAAATGAAATAAAAAAATGTCGGAAATGCTATGCATATTTCCGGAAATGAAATGCAGCGGTGGGAATTGGTGGAACTCATATTTTTAAAAAGTGGGAATAGGTAGGAGACACCCTTGCCACTCCAGTGCTCTTTACCGATTTAGCTCAAGGGTTAACCTACCAGCCAAGGCTAGTAGGAAGCCGTGTATCGTTTGTACTACCACAATAGGATTTTTTTTCATGTAAGTGTTGCTGATTTCCTTTTACTGTTGCAGTGATGTAGATTTCTGCGATTTTAATGCATTAAAACGCCATAAATTGGAAGATCTCCTAGAGGAGAAGAAGATTTTCGATTTTGATTGGAGTTTTTTTTTCCACTTGTCAATCATTTCTGGGCCCCCCCCCCCCCCCCCACTGCCGTTTTTCAAAGATATAGTTTAGAATGTTTATTTTCTGTTATTACGATGAAAAGATTTTAATTATAGATATTTTTAAGGAAATCAAATCAAAAGTTTAAAAAATATAAATATCATAAAATTATTATATTGCTTCACTTTATTTTACGGTTTTACGTTATGAAAATCAATGCAGTTACACACGTCACAGAAAATATTCCGTCACTGTCATGCGAATTTTTTTTTATACATTTATACACAGAAATATATGTCTTGCTATACATCCAAATGAAAGAGAAAGAAAAACTCTACAAGAATCAATAAAAAACTGAAAATGTCAAAATTCATAGTTAAGGGAGGTTTTTGCTTGGCGCGTCACATTACATAATGCGAGTCTGTATATTTTGTGTTCACATGTACATTCAAGTGTTATGTGAATCGAAACGTGAAGGAGACCGGTCCTTCGGATGAGACCGTATAAACCGAGGCCCCGTGTCGCAGTAGTTGCTGGCACGATAAAGATCCTCACTGCTCAAAGGCCCTGAGTGCCGAGCATAGGACAAAATTTGTAGCCCTCCACCGGCAATTGGTGGCGTCTCCATATGAGTGAAAAATTCTCGAGTGGGACGTTAAACAACATACAATCAATCAATCAATCGAAACGTGAAACATTTCTATTTCATTAATAGTAGTGATTTACATTTAAATTACTGCTGTTTTAATTCATTCACTAATGTTTATAATAATTATGAAATATAAAGAAAGTAAATCAAATACAGATTATTCTAGTTTTACTGGAATAATATTAATTTCATGCTTAAGTGAAAAATAGCATTTATGGAAGAAATATTTATAGAATAGGTTGCATTATTAAGCAAGAAGAGTTATCTCTCTTTGTGTATTTCATTGTGTGTGTGATATTGTGTGTTGCATTTATTTCGGACTATTTTGTTATTATTGAAAACATTAAACTTTTTAAGAATCTTTCTTGTTACTATGTGACCCCGGTAACATATTTAAATGACAAAAAATCAAAAGATAAATCAGATAAAGAGGAGATCACTCTTACACAATACATCACTGAAAATGTTATGTGAAAATACTTACGTTTTGTTGATCCCTAGGTGCCCACCGGTTTCATCACTGTGTACCTTTTGAAGAGCATCATCCATTTCTGTGATTTTTAAGACCCGAAGTGGTCTTTTAGTGTCTTCCTGGTGATGCAAAATGCCATCTATTAAGACATAGTCTCCACATTTCCGACGAAAGTTTCGTTTTTATGCGCCCGGATCGATAGATCCAGGGCGTATATTGTTTTTGTCCTGTCTGTCTGTTTGTTTGTTTGTTTGTTTGTCCCGAACTTTAACCTTCACCATAATTTTTGAACCATGAATGATAGAGACTTCATATTTGGTATAATTTTTGAACCATGAATGATAGAGACTTCATATTTGGTATGCATACTCCACTAATTAAGCTTTTTCAAATGATACCAAAGTCAATGACCTTGTGACCTTGACTGTGGCCTATATGCTAAAAATAGCTTTTTTCTGCAAACTTAAACCTTCGCCATAACTTTTGAACCATGAATGATAGAGACTTCATATTTGGTATGCATACTCCACTAATTAAGCTCTTTCAAATGACACCAAGGTCAATGACCTTGTGACCTTGACTGTGACCTTACTGCAAAAAATAGCTTTTTCCTAACTTTGTTGCCGCCGGGCGCATAGTGTTTCAAAAACACATCTTGTTTAATCTTGGAATTGGAAATAGATTTTTTTCTTTTTCTATACTTTTTCTATAATTTTAAATGTATGCATAAACAATTAAGAAATAAAGTTTTTAATATTTTTTTCACAATATACACTCTTTGATATCATTTTTACAGCGAAACTTATTTTTACATTTTCTGCAACCAGAAAAATACAAAAAGTCGTATGAAATAATTAAGAGATTCTCGTATTCTTTCAATGCTAAAATTGTGTTTGAAAAGAGATTCTTTAATTTGTCAAGTAAACAAAATTTCTATTAATATTCCTCCTTTTAATGTTTGCTAAAAGAATAATATTCCACTTGTTTTAAGAAATCAAACCATGCAACAATCAGGTTTAAATCTCTTTAATAGGAAAAATTAATTTTTCCTTCATTTCAAATTTTAGCTTGTATAAGTTTGGCAAATCCTATTTGACAATGAAAGAAGAGGAAATTTTTATCCCCCCCCCAAAAAAAAGAAGAACATTACGTTAAATCAAAAAAAAAAAAATAAATGAAAAGCAAAAAATATAAATAAAACTCTATACCTTTCAATAATACTGAAAGAGGCTCTAGATAAAAATTTGAAATGAAGTTAAGCCTTCACACAAGTACTATCATATCATAATTTACTTCGCCATGATTAAAGCATACTTTAAATATTGGTGGGGGTATACTTGAAAGTATTGTCGCAAAGTAACAGTTGAAAATTAGTAGAATAGTAGATTACTTCAAGCTTATTTTTAGTCCCGCCTTATAGAAAAATAAAGGTAGGATAGTTTTTTGTTGATAATCGACTTCCTCCTAAATAAGTAAGGGGGTGAGGTGGGTATAACACCTAAAATTATGCTCTGTAAAGCTATGTGCTAGTGTAAAATACACATTCTAATGCAAAAACTATACATGTAGACATAACGTTTTGATTTAGCACACAGTATTCATTACATTTCTTAATTCTTGTTTTACTCCACCCTTTTACTCAGTTCTGAGTATATTTTTCAGAGAATTTAGTATGAAAATCAGAACAAACACTTTCACTCTTGTAACCTCTTCTTTATACTGTATCATAATATAAAAACTTAATTGAAGACCATTTCTTTTTATGTCCCCGAAATCGAAGATTCGGGGGTATATAGGTTTATTGTGTCCGTCTGTATGTCTCTCTGTCTATGTGGCGGTCTGTTTGTTCGCAAAAACTTTTAACCTTGACCATAACTTTTCATTTATTGGAGCTATGACTTTCATATTTAATATGTGTATTCCTTGTGACAAGACCTTACTTTGGATACCACCATATTTGACCTTTTGACATTTACCTTGGAGTTTGTCCCATTTTACACAATAATGCCAAATTTTTACTTTGGCCATAACTTTTAAACGGTAGATACTAGTACTCTCAGACTTCACATATGTATTTGTTTTTGGCATGACCTTTCATTGCACACTAAAAACTTTGACCTTTTTACCTTGACCTTTTCAAGCAGAAGATATAATAATATATAATATTGCTGATTTTTTCTGTAAGTACGATGATTTCCACGATCTAAAAACAATGTTTACCTAACACTTTAGGCTCGATAAATCTTTTACTCATCAGGGGCGTAGCAACGGGGGGAGGGGCCTGCCCCCCCCCCCACTTTTTTTTCCCAACCTTACTTATACTATAGGAAATGTGAATTGAAAGCCTGATTGGCCCCCCACTTTTAGACTTTTAGTGGTGTACCGAAAATGTAAAATGTAGTATTAGAATTGGTACTAAAAGTAGTTGACACTGAGAAAAAGAAAAAAGGTTACCTTGTTGTTCTTGCGGAGATTTAAAAAGATTTTTCCTACATAATCCCATGTAAAACTTTGATCGTCCTTCGTGGCTCCACCCACGCCCCGGGGGGTCATGATTTGAAGAAAGTTAATTTTACACTATCTGTAATGCTTCCACATTAGTTTCATTTTACTCAACCCAGTAGATCTTGAGATGAAGATTTTTAAAACATACCACCTTTTCACTAATTCTTGATTTTCTCTCCTTGAATGAGGGCATAACCCCTTATTTGAATGAACGTGAATCCCCCTTACCCAAGGATTCTTTGTGGCAAGTTTGGTTGAAATTGGCCCTGTGGTTCTGGAGAAGTCGAAAATGTGAAAAATTTACAGGCGAACAGACAGACAGACTACAGACAAATTGTGATCAGAATAGCTCACTTGAGCTTTCAGCTCAGGTGAGCCAGATAGTTGGAAATTCAACCCCACCCACTGATTTCGAAATAGGAATTGGAGATTTTTCTTTTTTTGAAACTCATATATGTATTTCACCATATCTAGGCTCCACCCGTCATCAAATGGGTTGAAGATGGCAACACTAGTGGCAACAATGTCGTCGAAGATAAACCAAAACGTGTTGGGGTATGTTTCTATTCAAATGAAATCTCATATCAGATTTACTGACTTCCTTTCTTTTAATCTTCAAATAATTACATGACGTCGGAATTCGCACTTGGTTTCTTTTTTATAGCTGATGTTTATACAGCTGATGTTTACCGTTTTTACGTATTTCAGAAAATGAAGAAAATTTTCTCCGCAGATTATGCTATTGTTTTGGGTAAGTGGAGGGGAAAAATGCTAAAAAAAAATTAATGAATTGATGTGAATGATTGGTTGAAATCAAATATTTTGATGAGAAAAGATTCCTTGTGTCCTCTTTATTAATTAGTGCCATATTACATGTGTGTTAAACATTTTAAAAATGAAATTTGGAATGAGAATAAAAGTTTTTACAGTGAAACGGATGGCACGTAGGTGCCGTTAAAGTAAGTTTACATTATAATTATACTATCCAAACGGCATAGTAATTTTTTGATAACATGTATATAAACCGACATTCAACATTGCAAATAGGGGGAAAAGCATTATCCGCGATCTTTTTGTATAATTTGTGATCCAAGCCATCAAAATTATTAATTAACATTTGTAGAAAAAGCAATGAAGACTGAATGCTGCCATCTAGACGTCCGAGTTTCAATTTTTTTTCCATTTTCGAATTTTATTTTCTAGTATTCATTTTTTGTATTTGGAAACCAAAGAGAAGACACCCGAGCTATTTTACCCAGTGTCTTGGTTTATCATTAAGTTTATTTCTTTCCTTCTCTTTCAGTCATATCTTCAAAATTTTCCAGAATGTAAGCTACAGAGCAGAGAAAAAGCTCTATGGCTAACATTGTTGACAAAAGTATCTATTGTAAATTATCCTTTGGCTTCTTTTATCTGGCAAGATAGGCGAGACTGATCGTTCTTTTAAGTTACCAGAGCAAAATTACTCCATGACTTTTGGAACTTTCGACCAACCAGGAAACACCCATTCCTATATATAAAGGAATGGGACTTAAGTTTCCTGTCAAAAACTGTAAATTGTAATTGATACATCCATTCAGAGGTGTTTGAAAGCTCCTTTGTCTTCTCTTTTTAAAATTCTGTTAACATTTTTGTAACATCAGTAAATTACAAAGCAACAATAGACTTTTTGTTATTTTTGAAAAGCTAGTCCTTTTACATAGCAAAGCGATTGGCATGTATCTCGGAAGAAACAGAATTTTGTGTTTCTTGAAAATGGAAAACAATGGCGTTACTTAACGCCGATTGGAATTAAAAGCAAGAAGAATCAGAAATGAGTCTTATAAACAACACCGGCTTTTGATAGCACCATAGGCCAATATGAAGGTTTATGAAGAGTATTAGCGGATCAAGCTAGCTAAAATGCTGGTGGTAATGATGAAAACCAAATCGATTCTACATTACCTAGTGAAAAACTTCCGTATTGATTTGACCTGCAACATGGCTTTGCTGTTCTTGATCCGCACCGTACATGAACCCGTGGAGTTGATTTGTACAAAATTCAATCTTTTTATGTACTGAAGGTTGACCTTTCTTGTCTTGTGGATTTTGTTGAGATTTTTAAAATAGCACACGAAATATTCACTAAATTGTATTATTTTCCATTAAAAAAAGCATTGCCCTTATCTGAACAAACTTGTATAATCTGGAAGTGTGCCAAATTTGATTGAAATCGACTCATCAGTGGTTCTGAAGAAGTCGAAAATATGAAATAGAGGGACAGACACTGACAGACAAAATGTGAAAAGGCAGTCCACCGAAGAACCAGGCAATATTGTGATGTTAGGCGGCACATCAAATGTGACGAATATTTCATATTTTATTGAAAACTATATCAATGTAGTCAAAATGGAATAGTGTAATTGAAGATTTGTTTGAAAATTACTTATTTAGTAAAATATCCATTTGTTTTGTGTTCTTGAATTCCCCTTTATAAACAACTGAATGCAGGTCAGAAAGAAATAACCGTAAAATGTGACTGATGCAAAACTGCACACTTAACTAAAACTGATAATAAACAAACAACAACTACTTTATTTTCAAAATAAAATTCATTTTAACCTTCAAACGTGATATTTAGATAAAAAGTGTTTCTATTATTCAGGTTGAATGTATTTCTAAATTGAGGCTGTCATCACACCAATTGCCAAATGAAACAGGTCGATATTATAGTAATACAGAAAGAAATACAGAAAGACACTGTAGATATTGTTTTTTGTGTTCAGATTATGTTGAGGATGAATTTCATTTTTTTTCAATCTGTCCTGCTTATGACATACACCGTAAAAAATACGTAAATCACATATATTTTATATGGCGTTAAAATATATGACTATGTTGGCCAATTCTAAAATGTTTTCACATTAATCAAATCAGTTAAAAAATGATACCATGATACCCCAACCATTTTCCTTACTCTCCTTCACTTAAAAGGCCCTATCTTCTGTAAGCTTCTCCCTGCTCAAATGACAATGACTTGTTTGATCTTTTTCTAAAATTGTAGCTATTTGTAGGTACATTAATTAAGAAGAAATCAATTATCTTAGTAAACTCATTACTGTTCCTTTAATTTTTTACACAAATATTTTAATATGAATCTTAATAAGGAGGAATTCCACTTGTGGTTAAAATCTTCTTAAAACCAGTCACAACTGGGGGAAAACATGTTCGTAAATCATATTTCATAAAAGAAATTGAAACAAATTAATAGCCTATTTTAGAGAAATTATTTTTTTTAATCTGGCCGATCCCGATCAAAATTAAACCAATCCCAACCATAATTGTACAACTAATTTATTGGAAATAAATAACATTTCCCAAAGAACACTAATAAATTATATTTTATTCATTTTGTGTTAATTTTGATCGAGATCAGTTTAATTGTGATCGAGTTAGGTCAAAATATTGAATAAATTAATTTCTCAAAAATTACTCAATTTCATTTCAATTTCTTTTTAAAATATGATTGACAAACATATTCTCCTCAGTTGTGACTAGTTTTATGGTGTTTTTAACCATTCCCCATTTTAAAAACGTGAGTTATCTCCCCTAGAAATCGGAACTCTTCTAAACTAGCATAACTTTCGCGGACTACGCATTTTGTTGTTATGGAAGACGTACAGTACAGGGCATGAGTTTTCCCCGCAAAACACGGGCCGGTGGGGTTCTGTGGACCTCGAAACATGTCGGCGTCTTCGAAGTCAGTGTTTCTGTCCACCCACGTAACACGGTGCATCACACTTTTGATGATAAATATTTTTAAAAACATTTTCATTGTCTTTATGAAAACAAATTAAATCAAATTTCTTTTAAAATATTTGTTGTGCTTTTCATTAAATATTCGTAATTAATTCTAACACTGAAAATCTGTAATTATGTAAAATAAATTTTACATGCGGTAATTATGAAGATATCAACTGCGCAGATAGAGGTGATAATCCAATAAGATTAATGCATTTTTAGCAATGAAATGTACTTCGGTACGAGTATTACCTAATTCTTGGATATATCATATGAAAAAATGAAAAGAAAAAAGAGGGTTTGCGAAGAAATATAGATAAAATTAGCGACTTTAGAAAGGGTTTGTTACGGGACGTATATTTTTTTCACATGTATGTACATGTATGTAACACGGGTTGAATGAGTCTCTCTCTTTCTTTCTCTCTCTCTCTCTGATATTGTTTTTTCACACACTTTGCAAGAAAGAATAACTTATTTAAGGAATCACTGTCTAGTTAGTGTAGTATTCCCCATTTTGAAAAGGTGGGTTATCTCCCCTGAAGGGAACTCTTTTACTGTGTTTAATACGCACGCGCTATAAAGAAAGTCACTTCCGCGGACGTTTTTGACATAATGGACGATCGAAGAAAAAGCGAAGTTTCAGGGTATAGATCACAGAAATACTGCTACATATGCAGTAACTATAGAGGTAAAACTGTAGGAGGCCAGGTCATCAGCCTCCACAGGTTTCCCAGCGACACAAACAAAATTGTACCATAGGACTGGCGGTAAATTCAGATTTTACTTTGATGTTGCTGTGGTGTATTTGCCAGAAGAACCACAGTTTTTAAGTCACGCCCACAATTTGGCATCAAGCCATAATGTAACAAGACGTTGACGAATGAATGAATGATGCTAATTTCAAAACCTTGGCAATAACTGATAAATGAGTTAAGTCAACATTTTAAACTTCAAGAATACTAACATTAATTTGTCGACATTCCCTCCGTATTTTACTGAGCGTATCCTGTTATACGTTCTATTTCGAATTGCCTCAATTCTTATTCTGGTCTCCAAATAGTAATTTTACATTAAACATGTTAAGGTCTCCATATTTTACTTGACATAGGCGTCCGAACCGTGGGGAGGGGGGGGGGGGGGGCTAGCCACTTTTTTGCAAAGATAGACATAATATATAGGCATTAAAAATTGAGGTTTACCTTTCCTTGTTGGTTTAGCCCCCCCCCCCCCCATTTCAATTTGCTTCCGACGCCTATGCTTTCAGTACCATTCAAACTTTCATTAAAATGTCAGAAATCATTTTGCAGTTTTTGTACATTGATCGCTATAAATGAAAAGGTCAATCGGCGGTTTTCCATTGAAACCCCCCCCCAAATAAAATCGATCTTCGAAAGGAATAACAGCCTTAAATAAAATAGTTTACGATCGCTACCTCTGTTCCTGACAAAATCAAGCCCACTGTCTAAGCTGCAACATCTTCACAGGTACCCAATAATGACAAATCATTCCGATTTTTTTTTATCTACGATACCCCAGACGCAGCATTCAAAATAAAATCGGTTCAGATGGAGAAAGGTATTTATACAGTCTCCGGACCATGGCTTGACAGGATGAAGTGGGCGGTGCTAACTGTCAACGAGCTTTTCTCTCATTGGTCCTCTGGTACAAGTAACTTACACAATAGATATTAATTGGTTAATGGTAAATACACTCACAGTTTTTAATTCACTCGGGGCTCCGCCCCTCGTGAATTAAAAACTGTGAGTGTATTTACCATTAACCAATCAATATCTATAGTGTAACTATAACAGAGAATATGGCTGCAGCGGGCCAGATTGATTCGAAAAGACTTTAACTATTCAAAGAATTCTTACATTTGTTCAGCACATTTTGTCAATAATCAAGGCCCGTCTGCAGACCATCTACCACCATCTATTTTCCCACGCAAGACATTCAAAACATCTGTAAGAATTGATCACTTTCCATGAAATTTTGGCTTTTATTTACATATATACAATTCGACGCGGACGTGGGGAAAACATTAATCTGCAATTTCAATCCGATGTTTTCCCCACGTCCACGTCGAATTGTACCAGCTGATTTTTTTGTCCATCACTGAATGTTTTGATTGTAACAGATATATACGACGTAAGCTGTATATTACCAATCTTGCCAGTATCATCATTCTATTTGGTAATGTTTCGTTTTTTTTTTTTGGGGGGGGGGGGTGTTGTTGTACCCCCCTCATTATACAGATCATTAGAAATCCAGAAAGAGACTCTTAGAGAGCAATTAAAAATACGAATCAGTTAAGATTTCTTTTTGTTCACAATAACAAAAACAGTTTATCATATGGCTATTATATGGTAGAAGGCAAGCTTTACACAATGAACATCATGTGAGAACACATTTGGTGACATAGGTCTGTACAATACAATACACAGCTCTATAACATAAAAGAAAACAGGGAAAGGTGTCAGTGGTTAAATCATAAAATTAAAATATTTTATTTTTATCATTTCATTCATGATATAAAATGATAATGATATAAATATGTAAATAATGATATTTTTATAATTCAAATATACGTATAATAGTATTATATAAGAATTTATAGAACAATAACCACAATTCGCGAAAATTAATAAACAATATTTTTTCTTTAATAAACAATATTTTTTCTTTAATCACTTCAAATATTGATGTTACTATCATGATTATAAAAAAAAATGTTTAATGTAAATACATACTGCTATCTTTAAATATTCTTAAATTTATTTTTCCTCTTTGTATGTACTGAAAAATTCCACTTTTCACTCCAGGCTCCCACAACATGCATAAGTACGTCAAGTTGTCTTATCACTCAGCCAGAAGATGTAAACCCCGAGATAGAGAGTATGGATTACCAGGATAGCCTTGAACAATCAGGTTATTATTTCTTACTGTAATACTGATGAATCTAACAATCAGGGTATTTCTTACTGTAATACTGATGAATCTAGCGATAAGGTTATTTCAGTACTGTAACCCAAACTACAACTTTTTCTAAAGATGCATCAACACAGACTGATGGATCGCATTTGAACATTGCAGCCATGACTAACTCTACCTCAGCGGAAACACAGACTGATGAAAAAAAGGCATTGACAAAGGAACACAAGCTTGTAAACCTGTGTTCACATTCGAGGACATAGAACATGATAATTCTAAAATTTTATTCTACACGGGCATTCCTAATATGGAGACATTTAATACCGTATTCGATGAGATAAAGGACGATGCATATAAAAATACAAGACCTGCAAGTTCTACATCATCAAACAAAGGAAGACCAAGGAGACTCAGGATCATTGATGAATTTTTTTTTGTGCTTTTGAGACTAAGACTTGGTTTACTTCTTGAGGATTTGGCAAACAGATTTAATGTTAGTGTTTCAACATGCAGCAATATTTTCAATTTATGGATAGATTTTTTATTTGTTCAATTACAGCCGTTGATAATGTGGCCTTTTAGAGATACAATAAATGCTACAATGCCAATTTCATTCAAAAGAAAATTTAGTAACTGTAGGGTTTTTATAGACTGTACAGAAGTTTTTGTACAAACCCCGAGTTCTCTTGCTAACAAGTCACTACTGTACAGTGACTATAAATCCCACATGACTTTTAAAGGATTCATTGACATTAGTCCTGCAGGTGTGACTAAATTTGTTTCTGACTTATGGGGAGGAAGTATTAGTGATAAACAATTGACCAAAAATATTAATATTTCATTTATGTGAAGTAGGTGATGCCATTATGGCCGATGAAGGTTTTGTTATTTCAGACTTGACTACCCCGAAGGGAATTCATCTAATTATTCCCCTTTCAAGAACAAAAATCATTAAATGTCTCTTAATGATGTCTTGTTGACTCGTGACATAGCACGTCTCAGAGTTCACGTAGAAAGACAAATGTATGGAATCCGGGTAGGGCCACGCATTTCACTATCGCATCATCGCACCATCGAGGTTTAGGTCGATAGTGCGATGAAGAGATAATGCGATGACGATGAAGCGATGGTGCGATAACGATGAAGTGATGGTGCGATAGCGCGATGACGATGATGCTATGGCACGACAATGCGATGACGATGGTGCGATAATGCGATGACGCGATAGTGATGACACGATGGTGCGATGACGATGGTGCGATAGTACGATGACGATGAAGCGATATTCACTATCACTCAATCGTGCTATCGCACCATCGTCATCGCATTATCGCGCCATAGCATCATCGTCATCGCGCTATCGCTTCATCGTTATCGCACCAAGTTGATGCTCGATGGTGCAATAGTGAACTGCGTGGCCATATCCGGATTTCATACAAATGGAAAGAATAAAGAACTTTCATATTTTTGAAGGTGTGATGCATGTAAGTATGGCTTCCCAATGTTCTAAAATTTGGAAAATTTGTGTGGCTTTAACAAATCTCCTTCCGCCCCTGTGTAATGTTCCAGATTATGATATTGTGTCATAGCTGTTGTGAAGGATATGGCATTCACTTTTTTGATCACCAACCGAACTTTCATAATATGATTTATCGGGTAAAAACTGAACAAGTTATTTGTTGAATATTTTATTGTTTTATATTGGTATTTCAAAAGTTTCAAGATGAAAAATTCAAATACACAAACATTAATTTGTAAATGTGTTCTTAAATTATTTTTTTCTTTATTAATGTTACTGATAATGCATCATTATACTAAAAAAATTTGTGACTGACATTTAGATTTACTCACAGCATTCATTTTACATAAAAAGAAAAAAAAGAATTAAAAAAAAAGAAAACTCTTCTTTCATAATTAACCTTGGAAGTATATTTACCAAATTTATGAATTGATTTTTTTTAATATGTCATTTCCTTAGATTACAAGAAAGTCATTAGAATTCTATTCAATTTGTAATTCAAATAAACAGCATGAAAATATTTGAATACCCAGCTGAGAACAACGTGACTATGTCAAATTTTTTGTCAACAAAAAAAAAAAAAAAACAAAAAAAAAAAAAAAAAACAAAAACAAAACAAGAGGCCCACGGGCCTTATAGGTCACCTGAGTATCATGTAACAACTTTCCAGCGATTGTATTTGGTTCGTGTTTTAATCCAAAAGCCATGAAATTCACAAATTTTGAAAGAGGCACCATTGCTTATCAAAGGGCAGATTTCAAAGCATTAATTTATTTTTAGTCAAAGTACCCCCCTGGTACCCCTGACCCAGCAGCCCTGAAATTATCTATTTTGAAAGAGGCCCCTTTCTTCATTATAAGGCCAGCATTTTTTTATGTTTAGGTTTAGTTATGAACATGAGAATAAAAAAGTCCCGAAGGAGAAGGAAATAATTTTTTTTTTTTTGATAAATCAATTATTAACATTTGTACATTCTTTTTTTTATGCTATCCTAATAGGCTCCTTACCACTGGACACATAATGCTTACAAATAGGAAAGTAGAACATTTAATTGCTTATTTCATCATCTGCCAGTTTGGTCCAGTTATATAAATTTGTGATGTTGATCAAAATATATTTTTAAAAATCAATTCTTTAAAAGTCTTTCAATATATCTTCATTTTTTTTAAATATGTGTTATGTGAATGTGTAGACATTGTTCTAAAATTTACTTGATGCCTAAAATTATAATTCCTATCATAAAACAGACAGGGAGTATTGGGGAGTAGGGTCAACATTTTTTCAACTGAGTGTAAAATAATTTTTCTGGCTGATACAAATGATACTACATGCCTGTATATATTTGTATATATTCTTGCCTTTTAATAGTTGAATTTTTTTTTTATTTCTTCAGGTTATTCTTTATTTCTTCCTCAAATTGACTTCACTTTTATTTTTTTTTTTATTCATTACATCTGATGCATAAGCAACCCTTTTCTGAAGAATGATGCTTAGACTGTAAGCTATAACAGAGACCTAAACAATGTCCCTGGCAATATGCAATAGCTACCACAGGCAGTTAAAGACCTGGGGGAGGAAAATAATTTACAGTTACTTTTGAAACGAATACATAATTATATCACCAGCATGTCATTGTGCAACAAAGTCGTCAGCATTTTATTTGTCCTTTGAAGGGGTGAAACGTTTTGAATGGCATTCTTATCGATGAATTTTACACTAAACCAAGCTATCTTCTCAGATCTAACTTTATTTACCCGCCGTTTCATCGTAAAACCGGAAGTGCTAGTTCGTAAATTTGAAATCTCGATCCCGACTCAAATTTGACATCGGAAAGAAAAAAAAATGTTTTATTTTTTTCTGAAAATTCAAAACCTTGAGCGGAGGGTTTGTAAAACTAAAAATAAAATAAATCCTGGCCTTAAATATGTAATTAGATCAATAGCATATTAACCAGGGGCGAAGGATAAGATGTTCAAATAATTCATGCATTTCACTATATAATCATTAGAGCCCCACCCTAAAACAAGAACCCTTGACCCTGGGGCCATAAAATTCACAATTTTGGTAGAGGTACTCTTGCTTATCATAACTATGTATTTAGTTTGTTTATTTAATATCCAGGAGCAGAGAAGATTTTCAAAGAATTCATGTATTTTCGCTATATAATCAATAGAGCCCCGCCCTAACACCAGAACCCCTGACCCTGGGGCCATAAAATTCACAATTTTGGTAGAGGCACTCTTGCTCATCATAACTATGTACTTAGTTGGTTTATTTAATACCCAGGAGCAGAGAAGAAGATTTTCAAAGAAATAATGCATTTTCACTACCTACTTATTTAGCCCCGCCCTAGCACTAGAACCCCTGACCCTAGGGCCATGAATTTCACAATTTTGGTAGAGGACTCATTGCTGATTACAATCATGCAAACAGTTTGACTGCTTGTTGTCCAGGAGTAAAGAAGAAGATTTTTAAAAATTGCATTAATTTTAGTGGTTTTGGCCCCACCCCTCAGGCCCCAGGGGGGCAGGGATCATGAAATTCTAAATTTTTGTTCCCCTTCACCCATAAATGCTTTATGCCAAATTTGGTTGAAATTGGTTCAGTGGTTGCAGAGAAGAAGCTGAAAATGTTCAAATGTTAACACACGACGAACGACGCACGACGACGGACGAAAACGGATAGCAATAGGTCACCTGAGTTTACTCAGGTGACCTAAAAACCAACAACAACAGTAAGCGACATTTTGTATACCCTCTTAGCAAAGATTTATGCATTTATTTTTATTCATTCATGCATGTCTCTTAACTGAAACTATCGATGTCTTACTATCTCTCCATCTGTCAATCAACATGAATTTGTTTCATGATTTATATAATTGATGCATACAGTCTTTGATATTGCAATAAATGAATAAAATTGAACCGAATTTCATTCTTTCAAAAAAACATTTAAAAAAGATGACTCAAATTGTTTATTTACTTGAGTGATCTTAACAATATTTTGTGCAAAAGTTCTTGGAGCATATTTATTATACATGTATAACAATCATTCAGTTTATCTAAACATTTCAACCAGAATGATTGGTCAAAGTATATTCTTTCAACAGAGAAAGGTGGTTTCAGAGTCCAAATAACAAAATCACACCATGGTTTGTTACATATTGCCATTTGGCCTTGTATCTGAAAGTAATAATTATGATTTGTTTTCAATTTAAAATTTTGATTTCCATCAAGTGTACAACAAAACTCATGATCAAGTGCACACTCAACAGGAGAATGGGTTCGCCATTTGTCTGATGCTGGACATTTAATTTCTAAGAGCCTTCTCTCACCGCTTGGTAAAGTAACAATACCATCAGGACTAGAGCCAAGATGAGGATACTTCGGACTGATAATAAGACCTGACTGAGACACCATACAATAACATCTCCTTGCAGCAGGCTCATGTTCAATTCCCCACTTAGTAAATTTGTTTGAGGGAAAGGAAACATCATACAACAAGCATTGGAGTCGGAAGCAATTTGAAAGAGGGGGGCTAAGTATAAAAAAAAATTATACCTTCAAAAATACCTGACAAGCAAAAAAAAAGGGATATGATTCCATTCCTTCCGAAACAAGAAAATCCTATTTCGTTTGAGTTGGGGGGGGGGGGGGGGAGTTCGAATTTCCGTACCAAAACTGTTTTCTAAACACCACCATTTTCCCCATTTTA